ATTTTCAAGTTTTGATTCACTTTAGAATTCACTTACCTACAACTGCAACGAGTCATTTCATCAATATTTTTTCTTGTATCAATGTGCGGTTGACATCAGTTTCATAAATAGCACAAAATGAAGAATAAGAACAATGCTTGCATCAATTAGCGTTAGTTAATTTATTGATTGATACGATCGGGGCCCATTGTGTTAATCAGATAATTGGAGTATTTTAAGTCATTAAAAATGACACATGATGATACATTTTTGCTATCTAGAACGGCTATTGTTCATGTTTTCATCTAATTATAGGATAAAAATATTGGTTTTCATCCCGGTCAAAATTAATTTCATTTACGTTTTTTTAATAATGTGTACTTCGACGCAGTCCTCTGCCAATTTGCTTCATTTTCGATATTTCCTGCGCAAAATCTGAAAAACAAATCGAATAACATTATTTGATGAACAATATACCTTGTATTATTATACAATTAAGCGTAAAAAATGGAAGACCTTGAATTCAGTGTAATAGAGACAGAATTATTAATAGAAAATAGATATGGAATACAACGCATCTCATGGTATTATGAATTGTGTTGGTGGACAGGTCCGATTACTACTGCATGAACAAATGATTTGAAAAAAATTGTGAAATTCAATCACCTTGGATCACCACATCAGATGCTATTGTTGCTCATTAGCACCATTCACAATTTTTAAACATAATATTCCCGTGTGGAAAAAAAATGACTGACTGTAACCAGCTGAAATCGACTGGAATTGAATTTTGTTAACTGAAGTCGTCTACCCAGTCGACTTTAGTCGTCTATATATGTCATCTTGAACAGATGACTGATTTGGGACGTTTTTGTCTATGTAGTCAACTACGATTGAACTTGAATTAAGTTGTATTTTTCTCTACTAGGATTGACTGAAAAATCAGCCAAATCAACTTAAAACAACTTCAATCTCAGTTGGCTTTAGCCAAAAACGTCCCAAATTAGTTAACTGACTAGTCAGTCAGTAATTTTCCACAAGGGTTGTCATTGACAGAATTCATCATTGAATTTTGTCGATTTTAAGCGAAATTTTCACTGAATGCTTTGTGCCTGCAGAAGGTTGGATATAGAATAAAGTTGCAGAAAGGTAAGTTTTTCATAACCAAAATATTTGGTGGCAGTACCAAAATCTGTGTCGCCGTTTTTTTCGGACAGAATATACCATGTTCGTTGGTCTAAAATGTGTCCGAATATGTCCCTTGGTCTAAAAAAACCCTGTCCGACACGTTTCCCCTCTGCCCAATTCAAAGGAAAATTACTTCGAAAAGTGTTTGCCTATTGCTATCTTTAGGATGTACAGCGACTCATCCCATTTTCACCGCACCTTACGCACTCATAAATGGTGCGATGCAGGTTAGTTACAAAACCGAAGGTTAAAGTGAAACAATGTAAAATGAGAGCCAGAGCTGCTTACATAGTAGTATATTCATATTGAAAATTGTTTGGTTGTGGCAGTGCATAGAATGTCAGGATCAAAAAACAATTATCCAAGTATGCATAGACATTTTCTCTCTTCTACCTCGCTTGCACACTTTTTTATGTGCTGATGCTGAGGTTTTGTCGCTAAATTAAATTCCATGTGAAACAATGTAGAAAACCAATTTTCGCATCGAATAATTTGCCATTGAAAACAAGTTGATTGATGGACATGCAATCAAATTCAGTGGCCGTTTCGAGTAAAATTTTCATCAATTGAGATTATGAGTTAAAATAAGTTGTTATGTGATTATGTGCCGTATCATTAATCGGGTTTGTTGCATTTATTTGTATAAAACGTCAACTTGTGGCAAAAAAGGCCTTTCAGTTGACATGAAAAAAAGGGGAGAGTCTGATGAAACTCTGTAAAGGAAATTTGATATGTTGTGTGGGTTTGTCATGATTGTTGCTGGTTTTTTTTATCAATATATTTGTTTGTACAAAGGTTTTGTGGCGTTATAAAATTGAACATTTTCGCGTGCGACCTATGGCGCGGCCATACATTTAACCTATTTAACAATGTTCATCAATCAATTTCCGGCCAGTTAAACCACAAAAAGAATGAAAATACACACACTCAAAACCAGTCGAAACGAACATAAAAAACGGATATTATCATAAAAAACAATTCCGCACGTACAGATGCGCGTGTTGTCGTGCAAAAAGCGTATTCGGTAGTGCTCATAAATACACACAAAAATTGAATTATATGTGTGGATAAAAGCTTCGAATTCTATCGAAAATGTTGAATGAAATCGACAATGGCATGAAGTGATTATATACTTGAATTCAATATAAATCCATCATTTAGTCATCGATATCGTGCGGACATTGCACAAATCAAACGAGAAAATAATCCGAGCTCGTATATCCAATCGAATAATGGAAATTGCACGAATTTCTAGGGTGTGAAATCTCAATATTTAATTGGCAAACTTTAAAAAAAAATCATAATGTTTCATAAAATGAAGTGTACAATGTTACAAATGCGATGCTCGAACGAACGCAAACTATTAGGCTGTCGAAAATGTTCAGCGCACTGAATTTTGATTTCATTAAAATATTGCCGCCATTAGTTGGATAAAAATGATTCTATGTTGCTAATTGGATCGATTAAGTGCATGAACGACAATGCGAGTGGAAAAACGTTGTAAGTTATGGACTTTTGCAATGAACATTTGTAACAAAAAATTACTGCAAACGATTTTAAAGCTATACCAGATTCGATTAAAATAATTGGCCTCATTCCAATTGATTGGATTGCTGTTTTCCGTTTTTGCTCACACTTTTTCCGAGAGAACGAACGAGTTCGAGAAAACTACACCTCAAGTGGTGCCATATAATACTCTGTACACTTTTGTTGCATTCACTTTTATTTCAAAAAAAAAATCATTCCTTTCATTGGACACCTTTAATGAATATTTATTTTCTGCGGCAAAAACTTTATAAAAGGTAATAAACGGATTCAAAGATTATAAAAATTAAAATTGCCATATTGTGGTCACAGCTGGTGAATATTTCGTTTTTTTTTCAGTGATGGTTTTTTCCTATCTGAATAGCGCTAGCTATTCGCAGCGCCTGTACAGCATTGCTGCCCAGATGCTGAATCGTAGCGGTTGCCGCACGCGCAACACACTTCGTTTGTACCACAAAGAGCATATACGTTCGCGTTCGTTTTCTGTTCGACATGCGTTTGTATACTGACTATGGTATTAGTGTATCATACTCTGTGAGCTCACTGGTTACTTAGACTATATGACAATATGTTGTGTGGTACAAAACCAACCCTGACTAGCATTATATGGGCTTCTGTGTTATTCTGCCGAACTCCGCTCAACGTGGCGCCATCTCTATACACGACGTTGAAGTAATAAAAGTTTTTGTGTATTTCTCAAGTTTGAGAGAAATCGCATATTTACATTCATTTTAGTTGCGTTGAATTGTAATTTAATAACTGGTAATAAAAAATGTCAACAAAATCAAAGAGAAGAATTATAGAAGTCACAACAGTTATTATATACATATTTATGGTTTACTACCGCCAATTTAAGTCATATGAAACGCCTTTTTATTCGGTCTTCTCTTCATTACAAAAAAAATTATATAAATATATACACATAGCGTAGAGCATGTATTTCTTTCGACGTGAAATTTCGTAGCATTTAAAATCTGATTGCAAATTTCACTTAAAATTAATCGAGCACACTTAGCAATTTTATTGATGAAAAAAATTTAATTTAATATAAAATCTCAAAACATAGTACCATACAAAATGACAATTTGTTTACATGCTCATCGTTGACAGCCGGTATATGTGATGACATAAACCAAAGTGAAATGCTCATGTATTTGTGCGAATAACATTGCTCTCATTGGATCACATGTTCAAAATTCGTAACGTTGATTCGTTTGCTTATGCGCATTGTGCATGTATGTAGCGACGCTCAACAATCAATATTCAAATACATGCGAATACATGTGCACTTCATTTCGGTTTTTGTCATTCTACTGTTCGTGTAGAAAAACGTTCGTGTGAGTGACAACATTGATTGTTTTCATTCCACTGTTTTCTCTCTCTTGTGTATTGTTTTGTTTCTATTTTATTTTATTTTATTGTGTTTTAAATTGAATATCATTTTAAAAATTATTTATTACTTAAATGTTTTTAAAAAAATTGAACAATTTATTAAATTACAATTGAGAAATACACAAACAAATCTATAACTTAGATTTTGTGTAAAGAGATGGTGCCAGTAGTAGAGCTTTTTTCAAAAAGTCAAATGTAAGTGGGACTTGTACAAAACGCGTGCGGCAACCGCTTCGATTCAGCATCTGGGCAGCAATGCTGTTCAGACGCTGCAAATAGCTAGCGCTATTCAGATAGGAAAAAACCATCACTGTTTTTTTTCGCGAAAAAAATAGCCATTTATATTTTTTATCCAATCAAATGCATCAATCGAATATTAGTTCTTTATTGTTGTAGTTTTATTATTTTTACGTACACAAAGTGTAGAAGGAAAAGAATTGCATAAGTTCGGTAGATGCGGTAAAGTTTGAAGCAAACAATACTGAAACTCAAAAAAATATTTTATTCTATGTAAATAGCTGCGACAATCGAATATTTGCCGCGTTTGTTATCCACGGAAAGAAGAACCCATTTCGATCGATGAGATCTGTAAGAACGAATATTTTCTTCGTTCAAAATGTTTGAAAAGGAAGGTTTGATTTTGCCAATTCTTTCTTACAAAATTGTAGTTTGTTTCAAACCGAATAAAAATATTTAATTTTCCGAGAAATACACAGGTGAATATTAAAAATTAAAGAGCTTTCTTCTCTAAATATGTAACGAAATAAAAACAACACAACTTTTCGACTGAGGAATGTTCAACTTATAACTGAGCTGTGTGTCTGCTCAGATGTATCTCTGAAAAAAGATATTTGTAGTAAACTTCCTAACGCCTTGTAAAATTAATACACAAATGATTATTTTAAATTTTTTTGGTCTTTTTGGTGACCATTTATTTGACGTGGACAAGTAAATTCAGAAGATAACAAAAATTGTTTGCCCGTTATTTACTGCAGTAATACATGCATTTTTGCTATATTTACACATTATATTGGAAATTTGCTGGTAAATATTGATATCTAATAGATATTATCTTCTGCGATTTATTGCTGTGTTTATTACTGTGTAACCAGATGGTGGTGTTGGGACAATTGCTCTTGGAAATTCAGTTTCAGCAAGACCTACTATGATAAATTTGCACGATTCTCCATCATCCTCTAAGCTTTTAAAAACTTGACCTGCAATACATCTTACATAATTTGTCGTTTCATCGAGAATTAAGGATCTAAATGATTCTCCAACTTGATTCCATGGTAGATCCGGATATTGAACGTAAATTTTAGCAATAAATCCATGAGTATTAGAATAAACTTCACCAACATAAACATTCTTATCGTGTTTTTTTAACTTTCTTATCGCAAAGTCTTCGTATCTTGTATTTTCTACCTGTCCAGGCGATTGAAACCAACGGATGCGATTAAAAAGCTTCACTTGCTTTTCGAACTCATTTTTTTGAGAGCTAACAGACGACTGAAATGCAAAAAATGAAATCAAAAATATAGCAAACTAATTGAATTCTTTCGGAAAAGTATCGCTAATTTACTTACAAAGAAAAAAATCAGCAGAACGGACGCGCAAATAATTTTTAAGTGAAACATTTTTTAGTTAAAAATTAGTCTTGTTTTCAATTTTCTTGTATTGAAAGAACGAAGCGATTAAGAGCGCTTGTAACCTTTTGATATTCTACTAAGCGTTGCGTTAATATTTATACTCTCGATTGGCAGCTATTATCGTCAATTTAAATTCGGAATTTGATCATATTTGATTATTATGCCCCAATATTCGAAAACAACATTTCCAGGTGTCATTAGGAATTTTTCGTACATCTTATTTTTTTCTATTTTACTCTATGAAAACTAAGTAATATCATTCGTTTTCAAAAACAAATTTAAAATAGATTAACGATTCTTTTGAGACATACACAAAATTTCTAACACCATATGTTGGTACGTCAATCGACTGTGCTAAAATTTTACTTTTACATTCAATTGTGAATAAAAACATTTAAAATTATTTCTTCAATTTTGTTTTTTTGCGTTTATCGAAACAACCTAGCTATTAGTGTAGTGCAATTCCAAATAGAAGAATTTTACTGACAAACACACGTGGCTTACTTTTAACAATTGTTTTCTTATCTCGCTGCGATAAGTTAAAATATCTGTTGTCAAGCATAATTTTTCGTAACCTTCTTTGTTGGCTCCAAAACATGTCCACGTGTAACCAGAGATCGGGGATCTTATATTCCAAATGTATGGTCCTTTGCATTCGCCACATATTGTTTGATTTAAATAGCAGTATACATTATTTCATTTGAGTATACCGATATGAGTAACCGAATATGCTATTTAAAAGGTGATCATAACAGGTAGGTTTGAAAATCACCATGTGTCGATGTATAGTGAAATTTCATGAATGACCAGACCAAATTCACTGCAATCGAGTTACGGAGCTACAATCAATGGAAAAAGATGCGACTTTGTAGCTCAAATGACAAATGAAATATTCACTTGTTATCATCGCTGAAAAGAAATTGATCAAACCAAATGATCAAGTATTGATGCAAAATAAAGATCATCAGAGCTTTCTCTATATACAATGAAAACTAGGTGACATGCATATTCGGAACTAGTTGACAATCCGTCTGAAATTGCATTTTTCCATCTAATTTTAATATAAGCATCGGGCGTCGAAAATGTTGAAAATCTGGGCGAAATTCAAATTTTCAAAAAAAAAAAAAAAAATGAATTCAAAGAAAAACAAAACTATTTCAACTAAATTCAGTATTTAATTTCGATTAAAAATCATTGCACAAGGGATTTATTGACTTGTAGAAACACACTTGTATATTTGTAATTTTTTAAAAGCGTCCAATAATTATTAATTAACTAAGAAAATTAACATTTTTGATAAGAAAAAATACAAATTATTGAAATTTAGAAAAAATTGAATTTTTTCAAAAAAAAACCGGGCGAAATCTGTTTTTTTTAAGATATCCGGGCCGGGCGATTTTTCGTCCGGGTTTTAAAACGAAAATCCGGGCGATCTGGGATGCTTATTTTAATACAAAATATCGGTTTTGTGTAGATTTTCTTCAAAACGTAAACAAAGAAAAACCGAACAAATGACGACGAAATAACCGCATGTAAAACTACTGAAATTAAATCTTATGCTAATACATACATCAGCGTGGACTGTAATAAAGATATTTCTATTTTGATACTTTTATTTTTTTGAAGAAACTATCGATGGATTTCGATATCTTTGTCCAGATGTTATATCTGTGCATACCACCGGGTACGACTAAGGCTAATATCTGTCCCCTTAGCTACAAACAGCCACCAGTTTTAATTTTTGCTCCACAATAGCAACACAAAAAAAAAAATTTGGCTTTATTAAAATTTATTTAAACCAATTATTTAAAATATAATCAACAAGTTTTTATTTACACTGATTATTTTTTAGCACGCTTAGCTGTCAAAGCAATGTTATGGATAGATGACACATCTGACCGACAGGTGGCTGTTTGTAGCTAAGGAGACAGACATTAGCCTTAGTCGTACCCGGTGACGCATACAGATGTAATTTCAATGCGACCCACACCATTGCAAGTCCATAACAATAGCCGAATATAAACGATATCAGTAAGAAAATATACAATCGGAGATTTAATGTTATTTTAAAATAGAGACCAGAAAACACTATCGCTACAGTGACACTATATCAACAGTATAAATTGATAAAAATTGGTTTTGAGTTTATAAAATTTTGAAGAAAAAATATAAATAAAAATGCCATAAAACATATAAACAATATTTATATATTATTTTTATTGGAAAATAACGTTAAATCCACATTAAATACACTGGGTTGCTGCAAAACACGTATCACTGGCGCCCTCACTGTATTGCATAGTGAAGTAACTCAATAGTACGTGTGTGAAATGTGAAGATTTTTTCTCGCACGAACTAGATGGCGCTTGTAACTAAGTGTCTTTGCAGCAATGGTGTGATTAAATATTGGCCGAAAAATAGTTATTTTAAACTAACACTAGCTAAGTTGATAATTATCACACGTAATTAGGTTATAACCTTTTTGATTTTACAAAATTATAAAATAGGTAAAAACGCGCCTAATTTGATCGCGTAAAATATTTATACATATATTTTCTAATAATACATAATTTAACAATCGGAGACTTCGTCTGTTAAACATCTACAATATGAACTCATCAATGTCACTGCCAAGGTTGTAATGATTGAATCACTATTTCATTTTTATTTTTTTTCCTTTTTCATTTGGGTTTTATGTCGCCGACCAAAAATCTTTTTTATTGAAGATAAGCTTATGCGTGTTATTGCCATCTGAACATTATGCTCTAAATGATAACCTTTATTTATAAAAAAATATTATTAATCATCCGGCCATTGCTTTAAAAACAAATGAGCCATATCGCCCTGAATCATAAAAACTTTGTAACTAGAATAAAAATTCCCCAAAAAAACTGCAAATAAGATTGATAAGATTTTAAGTCTGAATTTCGTTTTTTCAAATATAGACATGCGTATAACTTCATTATTCTAATTTCAAGAAATGTATATATGACACAATCATTTTGTTAGTGATAAAGAAATGCTTATTTAATTTCACAACTTATAAATGTAATAGCTGTACGAATGAGTATATAAAACTGTGAGCCACTTTGATAAGTTCATCATTTCAAATTCAATTTTCTACTGTGCTAGTGGTTTTGGGTGAACAATGAATTCTTTATTCTCATTCGTGGTTTATGCTGTGCTAATAGTTGTTTCAAGTGAAGAAAACATATTCAATTCGGCCAGAGACTCATTGGATTTTGTGTATAATGCCCAAAATAGATTGAAAATAATAAACAATCCGAACATAATAGTGGTAGTTGGGAATACAGGCAGTGGAAAATCAACTCTGATTCATTATGCCGCCGGTAATTTCAGCAAATTGAATTCGGTGGAATCATCAAATCGAAATGATCCAGATTACATAATTAAAGATGAACTAGATTCTGACCCTAGTACTATTATTTCATCGACCGTGTCGCGAACATTAATTCCAGAAATGGTGATCGACGAACAGCAAAATGTTTGGTACGATTGTCCCGGTTTCGCGGATACCCGTAATGAAACTGTTGAAATCGCTACCACAGTTTTAATAAAACGCATCATCGAAAGTGCCGAAAATATAAAAATTGTCATGGTTGTAGATTACGAATCTGTTAAAAGCGGTCACACGCGTCACGACTTCGATAATTTGCTCACCAGCACAACACAATTAATCAAAAACTTAAAACGCTTCAAGAATAGTTTATCGTTGGTGGTGACCAAAGTACCAACATACTATGTTCAACGACGACGAATTATCGAAATTTTGGAAGAAAATGTGAAAAACACAACTGCCGATTTTATGCTTGCACATCGTTCAACTTTGATGGGAAATGTGTTATTTGAAGAGAAAGTTTCGTTGATCGATGCCTTGCTTGAGCAATCGGAAATAATGTATCCAAGAATATCAGTGTTTTGGAAACCCGATGAATTGGGAAGATTTAGCGATATCGAAAAATATGTAGTGGGCCGTAATCTTATACGCAAATCCATACTCGAACACACCGTATACACATATTTCCAACCAAATGACTTCGGGTTTCCTTTATCAGCCGAAGCTCAACTATATGTCAGGGAGATGGTAGAACAAACAGTCGATAACCTCTTTTTACAATTGAAAAATATCAACGATCAAGTAGAAAATGAGGTGAATCAAACCATTCAATCAATGCACGATTTTAAAAGAGCATTAAAAATTATTCACGCTGGACAATTGAAAATTGGATCTTATGAAAAAATCGATGAATTTCATTTGAAAAATCTAACTGAGTTATTTAGAGGGCTGATCAAAGAGATTGGCCTGCGATCGATTGAAGAACATGCCTTCAGCAAAATTGAACAAGACGAAAGCATTCTAAATGTGCTGAAATCGCTCATTACAAATGAAAAACGTTTGTCAAACATAAATTCAATCCAAACAATTGATTACAACTCCATTCTCAATAGAATCTATAATTTTTTTAAAAAATTTGAAACTGACATACAAAATAGCATATCGATTGAAGTTCCAAAAATAATGAATAATATTTCGGTTGCCATAGCAAAGGTTGATCAACAATTATTGAGAGCGTTACAGGAAAAAATGGAAGAAACGAACGACATTTATACCAAGCTAAATCTTCTACAAACCGGAAAGAAATCCATTGAGACAATTGGAAATGCGATAACATTGCAACAAAGAATCGAACAATTTTCAAATTTGATAAGAAATTTAAATATAACATCGATCGACATGCATGCATGTAATCGAACTGAACAGGATAGTTTATATCTTAACGAATTGGTGTCTCTTTCGAAATATTGGACTAATATTCCGATTGGAAATTGGATTATGAACTCATTCAGTGCAATTAATTTCATCAGTTCAGAATATGGTTGGTATTCATTCTTACCTCATGTTTATAGTTTCTTGGCCTCATATGAAGTTCAGAAGAATGTCCATGCTTATAATGTGCGCGATTTATCAAACTGGGGAAAAGTGGGAAGCGCAGAGGGCCTAGTAATTACGACTGAGAATTTCAAAGAGTTTACACAACGATTTAACA